AATGGGACAACTTCGTTACCGTATACCATTTTCCCTGCCAAAAATTCTGTAGTAAAAGTTCCGAAACCGAATCCGGGATTGTCGGTATTTAGTGGGAACTGATCACGCAGAGACTCCCGATTGTCGATTGTTTACCGGTGTAGAGTTACGTCCTGGTTCGAAGTTTGCCAGGTGATTTAAACTCGGGAAGGGAAGTAGTTAGATGAGGTTTAGCTGGTAACCAACCTTAGCTTAGATGTTTAGGTTTCTGGAATTTTATCTACGTCTAAAGGCTTAATATGCACCGAGATGATAAATTGATATTTCATATTCTTGGATATAGCTGTAGATCAGTAGCAAAACGATTGCTTTTCAATTGTGAGGTCGATGCTTCGAATCTCGTACATCGAAGTTTTCTTCGAAGACTTTTTAACAACTTGACTTCCAAGGAAGTACTGCCACGTTACCTATTTCTATCGCCAAGCAATAATGCGTTTCGGTTTTAAAGGGTGTTGGTGAAACTACAGGTACATTGGACTTGTCAACTTATGTCTCAGGGTGAGGGGCGCAGTGGTAGTGCCCCTCAGATCCTTGAGTGGCACTGCGCCTGTTACGGACAGGCGTGTCGCTTAATACCAGGCGCATAAGAAAAAAAAAGGATAAGTGTCTCACAAAGGTGTAAGCATGTTGGCGTGCCACACTAGACTTCGTTGTCATATCCTTTTTTTATGAAAGACATTTTGCACTTGACCGCTGATGACCTTGAGTGCACCATAGGCCAAAGGGTGAGCTGAAGGTCCTTAGTCAGTGTAAAAAAATAAGTAGCAGGCCTGAGGGCGCACAGATGGGCACGGATCTCACTCACACACATTCCCAACTAAGTTACGGAATTACCCTTTGGGGAAATAGTGTGCACACACGAGAAATATTTACAATCCAGAAAAGATGCATCCGTATTCTTGGCAATTTGAGTAGTACGGATAGCTGCAGACCGCACTTTAAACAATTTAAAATTTTGACTTTGTGTTCTATATATATTTTAGAAATTTGTAAATTTATTAAACAACACCCTGACTTTTACACTAACACTGACGACCTGCCTCAACGACACACTTTTAGACCACGCAATAGATTGCTTCTGCCACGATCTCGGCTACACATACACAGCTCAAGTCCCCACTCGATGTCGCTGAGTATATTCAACGAATTCCCGCCCATTATTAAAAACAAGGAAAATATATATTCACTGTTTTTAAATAAATTAAAATTACATCTTTTTAATAAATGCTATTACAATTTAAATGAATAATTTGATGACAAAGAAAAATAATAATATTATAATAAATTTGAATAATAAATAAATGTTAATTATATACTACAAAGTTATGCTATTGTAATCTAATTAAATTCAAACTTTCAAGTGACATAATTCTACTCATAATATGACGTATTCTTTTATTATTATATGACATATTTTTTTATTTTATATTATTATTTGATAAATAACAATTTTAATTAATAATTGAAACCTCGGCCTACCTCTGCTGTTAATGTTATCCCTAATAAAGGGCTCATATGTGTAGCATTATTTTAAATTTAAGACATGTATACCATATGAATGCAATAAATATATTGAGTATTGAGATCTCTGCTCAAGACACTACAAGACACTTCCATCAGAAGGGCATTCTGTAAAAGCAAGTCTGCACGAGTTAACGCTGAACTGGGGTCCTCGCCGGCGAAGTGATAGGGTCGCCAGGGTCATGGTGGCAGCTTCAACCACGGGATGGGGTAGTGAGAAGCAGTCGAAGTGCGTTTTCAGTGCCTATTTCATGAATCGAGCTGTTGTGGGGGGTCGTAAGTATATATACTCGTATATAAATACCTCACCAGTCTTATACTTAACTATCTTAACACTTTGCTGGCACGTTTCAGATGGTTTCAAGATACAAGTGTTGCCATCTATTGATGGCACTTGGTACTAAATTTGTAATAGTGGCGTTGAAATATATTATTATTAAGTATAATGACAGTTCTATTTCCGTATCCTAAACTATAACTTATAAGTGTAAGCGGTGCTGGAGGAGATCCGATTCAACAAATGTAAACAGTCTTTTTTGCCTAATTTCGTATTCATAAAGCGAAAATCAATATATTCCGCATATTGTAATAAAAGCTGTCCTGACACAGTGTGTCAGCGTTCGGAGTTGTTCTGTAATCGGTACTCGTCTGTAGTTGGCAGCGAATGAAAACGAAGAAGTTTCACAAGTTGTCCTTTTTTAACTCTACTTCAGCTGATGTTCTCAGAATGGGACGCTCTGTTAACTTAGTTGGAAAGTTGTATTATTTTGTGAAGAAGAAGCAGGGCTTCGTTTTTAACTTGCTGACTTTTTTTAAAACAAAATTAGAATATTGAGTCACGGACAAAACAGAAATTGAAAAATATTATGGCACATTGGGTTTATTTATAACAAAGATTAGTTTAATTGCTGTAACCTACATGTAAACTTTCACAATCCTTAGAAAACCTGCGAAGCTTCCGCCCTTTGAGCGAGTGTGGTTGACCTGGACACTCTCCTTGGAGGAGACCCGTACTCAGTCGTGGAACGTAAAATGATTGGCTATATTGAGGATGACCAATAATGATTGACTGTTACTATTTGTTATAAAATCAAAACTATGCAAAAATTAACGAAACAAAAATTATATACGTAGTCCGCAGCGGTTAGAATCGTGAAAGTGTTATGAGGAGCTGCCGGGTATTAAATTCTGGCACATCCAATTTGAGAAAACCCGATTTTTTTTCCTAAATTGGTTCTGGTCTAACTGCTTCCGCGGCCGACCGGTTACCATGCTGGTCTGCCACGCAGAGGTCACGGGTTCCCGGGCTAGGCGAAATATTTGTGCGGCCTAATATTTATCTCGTGTGTTTGAGTGTAATTTGTGGTTGTCTATGTATGTGTCCATGGTGCCCGTGATACAGGGTTTTCCTAGTGTGTAGCGTTTTTTTTTTGTTTTTGGCCCGCTCCCTAGTCACCTCCTTTCATTACATGTTCTACTTAAAAGGAAAATACCTCTAACCAATAAAATAAATATTCTTATTTTACCGTATTAATTTTCCCAACTTGGAGCTGAGCAAAATAAAGCGCTCATTTAACGATGTTCAATTTTATTTTTATTGTTATTGTTTTTTCCTTCAACAAACGGACAAAAAAAGAAAGAAAAAATGAACTTCGCCGTAGTACGTAAGTGATATTGAAAAAGCTGGAAAAATGCAAATGCTTTTAATGCACATTTAGGAATAGTGGTTTGCAAATTCCTATCGGATGTGCAATTATTTACAAACTCTACCCCAACTAAGTGTTCACACAATTTTCTCGATACAAACAAGAACCGGATCTTATAATAATAAATGTTGAGAGGGTTCTTTGACGTTTAGATGATGTCACCAATCTGCAGAAAAAACTTAATTTAAAAGTTACAAGTTTCATTTAAAAGGTTACAAAGTGCCAGGTTAAGTGTAATCGGTGGTACCTACGACGAGTGCTATACAGAAAGTTTAATTAAAACTATCAGATATATTCAGAAAGTGTAAGAATAAATAGTACCGATGTTTTTTCTCACATAAGTTACCTCGTTCGTTTGTAAGAAAATCGTGGCACCGCGATGCAGAATTTAGAAAAAATGGGTCAATACCATCTACTGGATTTTTTGGGAACTACATGATGAACAAAGCTCATATTGGTTAGATTAGTTAGTAAGGTTACATGTAATATTTTAACCGCTGTCCGGTCTACTAATTACTGGTAATTTATTGTATTGTTTCCTTCTTATTTTGTGTTGTTTTTATTACCGTTAAATATTAATATTGTAGAAGCGCTGCTAGAGCTAGAGTGGGTGGGGTTCTGTAGGATAATAGTAATGTAGCCTGGAGAGTAGTAGTAGCATCCGCAGCCTTCACAGCCTCCATACATCTTACTTAGTAAGTTTAGTTCAAAAGTTGAAATTCCAGTTGTATAGGTACTTATTCAGGCTTAACAATAATATTGTGATCTTTAAAATGTAAACGGTGTAAATATAACTTGTAAAAGGTTCAAAAAGATAAGAAGAGATGTGTTCGCTACCGCGATCGGGCAGGGAGTGACGATGGGACGAAACAAAATCAGAATGCGAGGCAAAATGGAACAATACAAAATTTGAATTTAAATACTAGTGTGAGAACAAAATAAGAAATTTAAATAAAAAGGTGGGATGACGATGGAAGGAGGTCACACCGTCACAACATGATTCAGCTCTGCGCAAGTTGTCTTCCTTTTATAAGTAGTTGTGTATCTAGTTGGACTTTTACAGATGTAAAATTAAATATGCACTAGATGTATTTATAAGTATTTATATAGTCTGTAGTAATTTAATATTTTTGCAATTTTTATTATTTTTTTTATTATATAATTTAATTTAGTTTTATTGTGCACGTAAACCCGTTGTTGTAATTACTGTGTCCTGTATTTTGGTCTGCAGGACAAAAAATTCTTTCAGAAATAAGCACTACCTTTTGTTTGTGTTTTCCGTTTTACCAAAAGGGATTTGTGTTTTCCTGTACAATGGATATTTAAATAAATAAGATGTAACAACTGTTGATGACACTCAAAAAAAAATAATTAAATAATCTAAGATGTAAGAGCGTTGCAGTGACGAATATATTCAATAGTGTGCGTCGAAAAAATTTATGGCCATTGCGGGCTTTCTGCGCAAAATCCAGTTTTTGTACTGACAATTTTTGGTAACAATTTGCTACTGTGTCTCTTGTCGCATTTATGTTTTGTCGCGAATTTCATTGAAAATCACTATTTTTATTCCATACTTATTTTTAATGATATAATCAAAGTTTTTATTTTATAGTGAAATAAAAAAAGCTTATTTATTGGGCTATAATTTTGCTCAGTGAAATTTGGACCCAAGTATATTGTAACGTCTTTATTATTTTTTATTTGTTATCTGTGTAAAAAACATTTAGTACTTACGTTCGTGGTCTGAACGGTCGTAGGTAGATCTCAGCATGCCTGTAAAGAATAGAACTTGTGGTTAATGATATTGTTTGATCTCATTAATTCTTACTAATATTTTAATAGATAACTGCCTCTGTGGCCGACTGGTTACCATGCTGGTCTGCCACGCAGAGGTGTCGGGTTCGATTCCCGGGCCGGGAGAAATATTTGTATGGCCATATCGACGGTGGAAATTTGAAATGTCGTAAGGAATATTCTGTCGTAATGGAAAACGCCCCTTTCTATAAAATGTCATTATTACCCTTATATCGACGGTGGAAATTTGAAATGTCTTAGAAGACATTTTGTCGTAAAGTCATTTTCCCTTACGACAAATTGTCCCTTACGACATTTCAAATTTCCACTATCGATATGTCTCTCGCGTCGGGTGTAATTTGTGGTTGTCTATGTATGTGTCCATGGCACCCATGATACAGGAGCTTCCCTAGTGCGATGCAATAAAAAAAAAAGATTTTAATGAGAACTAATAAATTAACAACACCGACAACATTAGTAATTGGAAATGAAACTACTATCTTTCAGATCTCAATCGCGTACATTTGTTTTTTTTTTCAAACAAACCAACGTTCCAGGATTTTACTTGTTTAAATGTTATAATAATAGGGGTTAAAGTATGAAATTGCCGATTTGTACTGAAAATCTAAATTGTTTATTTTTTAAATTTTTAACAAATTTATTTAATCAAAATAGTTGCCATTATTATCTATACATTGCTGCCATCTAATGGGAAGGTTATTAATGCCTTTGCGATAGAACTCCGACGATCTAGACTGCACAAACTGTGTGAAAGCATTTTGTACTGCCTCCTGGGAAGAAAACTTCTTGTCACGTAGATAATTGTCCAAATCACGAAAAAAATGGTAGTCCGTTGGAGCAAGGTCTGGTGAAAACGGAGGATGACGAATGGTTTCTAACTGCAGTTCCTGAAGGGTCAAAATGGTTTCTCGTGCTGTGTGAGGTCTCGCGTTGTCGTGGAGCAATAATGGTGAAGATCGATTCATGAGTCGGGGCTTTTTTACTGCTAGTTTTGTCAACATGGTTCGGAGTTCGGCACAATAGACATCTGCCTTTATTGCTTGACCAGATCGGAGAAAACTATAGTGAATAACACCATGCTGAGACCACCAAACAGTTACCATTACCTTTTTATTGGTAAGTTTTGCTTTAGGACACTGTTGTGGCATTTGACCTGGGGTCAGCCATTGCATTTTTCTTTTCCGGTTATCATAAAGAATCCACTTTTCATCACATGTTACAATTCGATCCAATATTCCTTCATTTCTGTACCTGTTCAACAAGGCAACACGCGTTTCTTTCTGCAGATCAGTCAAATCATGAGGCACCCATTTTTCGTATTTTTTTATTTTATTGATTTGACGCAAGTGAGTCAATATTGTGGGTAAGGTAACGTTAAACCATGCCGCTAATTCCTGGGTAGTTTGACTAGGATCGGCTTCCACTATCTCTCTTAATTCATCGTTATTCACCTGTGTGGGCGGTCTTCCTCGTGACTCGTTCTTTAAGTCGAAATTTCCATCACGAAAGCGTTTAAACCAAAATCGCACGGTGCGTTCATTAGTAGACCCCTCTCCAAACGCAGCATTGATATTGCGGGCTGTTTCTGCCGCGTTAGTTCCGCGTCGGAACTCGTATTCAAAAATCACTCGAATCGAATTTTCGCAGTATCCATCTTTCTTGTCTAAATTGAATAACAAAAACAATTGAAAGTCGATATTCAAATGTTTCAAATTTAAAAAAAAAAAAATCACAGAAACCATTTGAAAAAAGTTTCATTCGAAAACCTCAAACCATGAAGATTCTATGAAAATTCAAAGAACCTATTGCAATAAAACGGCAATTTCATACTTTAACCCCTAATATATATATGATGTAGTATTATTTAAAAAATAAATAAATAAGATAAAACATTAACCTCACTTAGAATTTCGTTAGGAGGCATCTTTATTAGTGTGGCTTTATTTTGTAGCCCTACTAGGGTTTATGTAGCCCTACACTACTAGAGTTAGTTAAAAATGCACTACTAATTATAACTAGACGCCAAGGCTAACCGAATTAAAGAACTTAGCTTTCAGACCTTTCAGTGTTCTATCTCCACTGGCTGGGTCGTATTTAGTGATTTTTTTATGCCCATTACAGGGTGACACTGGCTTAGGAGATGAAAAGACGTCTCATTCGAAGGCGAATCTTACTGTAGTATAAAGTAGTATAGTGTCTTAGAAATTAACGTCCTTACGCAAGCGTCACAGTATATTAAGAAAACGTAATTTATTTTATGAAGGATAACAATTATTGTTTATTTTTGTTTTAAAAAATAGATAGACATGTTATTGTAAGTTTTCTTTTGCTACATTCACTTTAATTCGCTCTAAAAAAGCAAAATGTCGTACGTCATTAAACTAATGACGTACGACATTTTGCTTTTTTAGAGCTCTTTGTCAAAGAGTCCGTCCAGGGAAGTACTGCCACCTTAACCTATTTCTGCCGCCAAGCAGTAATGTGAGCATTACTGCGTTGCAGTTTTGGAGGGTAAGGGTGTTGGTGAAATTACAGACTTGCAACTTATGTATCAGGGTGACGGGCGCGGTGGCAGTGCCCCTCAGATCTTTGCGGTTTAAAGCTCTGAATGGCACTGCAACAGTAATGGACAGGCGTGTCGCTTCTCATCAGGCGCATGATTTGTTCGTCCCGTCACTTAGTACCATAAAAAAAATATTGGCTTCAAGATCTCTATAAAACTACTTGGTTCATTTTAAAAATATAACATTGAGCGCGTTTAAAAATAACATCAGTACGGAAATACATAAAACTTTGCCAAGAGTCATTTTTTTTTGAACAAATATAGGCAAATGCAAAAAAGAAAACACTACACAAGTAAACAATAAGCTCATTCATCAATTATTCCTATTCACAACTCGTATAATGGTACAGCCGTGCACAAAAGCCGTCCAATTAGGTAGTTTAGCGTCGAAAGCTGTCGTCATGGCGACCGGTTTCACTGTGGACATGCGTTAATTGCATGTTACCATTTTGTAGCGTTTAGCACCTTTTTGTACAGACGGGGAGAAAATCCTTATAGGATTAAGAGGTAACTACTAAGTAGTTTAATCTAAAAGGTGAAGGTGAAGATTGATAAACAGTAATCCCGAGTCTTTAACCTTTTAGATTAATTGTATTTTCTATTAATTTTTATTAATTGTGATTCCTGTGCTTTGTGGAAAATAAATGTATTTTTATTTATTCATACATATATATTTAACTGCCTCCGTGGCCGAACGGTTACCATGCCGGACTGCCATGCAGAGGTCCCAGGTTCGATTCCCGGGCCGGGAGAAATATTTGTATGGCCTACATTTATTTGTCTCGTGAGTTTGGGTGTAATTTGTAATTGTCTATTTGTGTGTCCATGGCACCCGCGACACAGGGTTTCCCTAGTGCGGGGCTATGTCGAGTGTGTGCGTTATTATTACTACTATTATTATTATTATTATACAGTGACAGTAACTGTATTTATATACACTGTCTGTGCAAGCATTTACCAGTGTGTCCCTCATCCCCAAACACCCGAACTAGGGAGCAATTTAACACAGCCAAGATAGTGTTATGATAGTCGCAACGTATTCTATACCATTTTAAAATAAATGAACATCGATACAACGTCAAAAAATACTTGAACGACGTATTTCTCTATTTTCAAGTCGTATATGCAAAGATGTCCTTTGGTAAGATATATTGCTAAAAACTTTAAGCTCAATTTTTTGTAAAATACTTTTGATACAACATAATTCTGAGAAACGGAGCTCACTGCAACGATTCCGCTTAAATGTAAGGTTTTTTACAGTACCGTACACATAAACATTCTTTTCGAAATCCCTTTGGGGTTTCTTTTGGGATATTGGACGATCCTGACAAATATCTCATATTTCATTTACTTTCATTAATCATCTAACAATTTCGAAATTATTTTCATTATTACTCTTACGTCAATTAAATGGAGTTAAAAAAAAAAAAAAACATTATTACAATTTTCCAATTTTGAAGAGATAATCTCGTACTTATAACAGAAACCAGCACGTGGTCTACGCACGACACGATTAGGGTTTTAAGATTTTTAAGCGCCCGTATATGTGCTGCGTGGTTATTACAATTTTTGTGCATCAATGTACAAGTACTTGTACCAGTTCTCACGGGATTGTTTTTATTGTTCACACTTTGAAACAAAATAGAATTTAGTCCTTAATTAAGGAACGGGATTTGAATCGTCGCTCTAAATTTTAATGCTGTCGAAGTTCAGAATCAGTCGACACATACCGGTTTATATTAAGTTTGAATTGTTTTTATAAATGCATACTCTGATTATTATTATTGGCACAATTAAAGAATGTGACGATGTCAAGTGCAGTTTCTCAGTTATGAAAATATAGAGATATAAACAGAAAATGAACTAATTTTAAACGGACTTTAAAAAAGGAGCAGGTTTTTAATTCACGTGATTGCTCCGGCGTTTGTGAAGTGATTTTGATGATTCTCGGAAAGAGGGTCCCATTTAAATTTGAAGTAAATATTCCACCTCTAAGGGTGGCATACTAAGGGATGAATCCGGTTTCGTGCACTTTCCGGTAACAGCTTTCAATAAAACTTGGCAAATGGATGTTATTTCACTAACTTTTGAGGTTGTTTTTTTTCTTAATTTCGGATCTGAGTCATGTATATTTGTTTTTACAAACAAACCAACGTTTCGGGCCCTTTACAGGTCCCATGTACACGGGTGACTGAATCAGTTGACTGACTGACCTAAGAACTCCCAATATATATAGACTTTTTTTAAATTCATTATTTCACGATATTAATTGCTCAACAATAAATAAATGAATAATTTAGCCAGGTGATGAGTATTATTCCATAGTATTATTCCATCACTCACAACAGCAAGAGTTATAAGGAAAAAAGTCTCAAAATATTTTTAAGAACTTATT